GTTTGTGGGGGTGCTCATCTCTCTCTCTCTCTCTCTCTCTCTCTCTCTCTCTCTCTCTCTCTCTCTCTCTCTCTCAGTCCCTGCTCAGCATCCCGGGCTCACCCTTCCTCTCCCGCCACAACAGCAAAAGCAGCATCTTCAGCTTCCGGGGCCCCGGGAGGTTCCGAGACCCAGGCTCTGAGAACGAGTTCGCAGACGATGAGCACAGCACGGTGGAGGAGAGCGAGGGCCGGCGCGACTCGCTGTTCATCCCCATCCGGGCCCGCGAGCGCCGCAGCAGCTACAGCGGCTACAGCGGCTATGCCCCCCCTCCCCCCCCCGCCACAACAGCAAAAGCAGCATCTTCAGCTTCCGGGGCCCCGGGAGGTTCCGAGACCCAGGCTCTGAGAACGAGTTCGCAGACGATGAGCACAGCACGGTGGAGGAGAGCGAGGGCCGGCGCGACTCGCTGTTCATCCCCATCCGGGCCCGCGAGCGCCGCAGCAGCTACAGCGGCTACAGCGGCTACAGCCAGGGCAGTCGCTCCTCGCGCATCTTCCCCAACCTGCGGCGCAGCGTGAAGCGCAACAGCACGGTGGACTGCAATGGTGTGGTGTCGCTCATCGGAGGGCCCGGCTCCCACATCGGTGGGCGGCTCCTGCCAGAGGTGAAAATAGATAAGGCAGCTACCGAGGACAGTGTAAGGAAGTGCACGGTAGACCAGACATGGCATGGCAGTCTCGGCTCCCTGGCCCTCCTCTGCCCTCTGTCCTGCCCGGGCCCTCTTGGCCAGTCTGACGCCTCCTTCACACGCCATCCTTTCCCGGCTGCCCCCTTGCCTTCCTTCTGTGTTTCTGACGCTCCTCCCACCCAACTCCTTTGACCCTACCTCTCTCTCTGCCCATCTACCCTCTCTTCCGCCCCCGCCAGCTTTGACTGACTGCTGGGATGGAATGGAAATGTCACCTTATCACCACCAGTGATCAAATCTGAGCTGGTTTGGAACCATTGCTTTTCTTCCCCCTTCCCTCCCGGGAAAACAGCTTGGAATTTAAAGACCTTATTATTTCTGGGTTTTGGGGTTTTTTTTTAAAGTAATAATTTTCCACTTCTCTACAGGGATGAGGGAGGGTAGAGGTTACCCAGAAGGGCCAGGCCAAGGAGGTCAAGAAGACCTGGAGGGAACCAGATCCAGAATCTCACAAAGCATTGAAATGGGAATAACGAGGGAGGAAAAAGTGGGAGGTCAGGCAGGAATGCGTGGTGTTTGGGGGAGAGAGGGAAAGGAAGGAAAGGTGAATTTAAATGTAATCAAATGTCAGGCTCTAGAGGAGCTGCAGATAACAGCTTCAAAAATTCGCTTGTCTAAGGGCTCAAGACTGGTTCCCCTCTTTGGGAAAAGCCATTTCTTAATATTTCTTTAAATTCTAAGCTCTTTTTAAAAGCTGTATTGTTATTATACTGTCGGTAATCCTAATCTTTCCATCTAATTTCTTAACAGTCCTCAGTGCCTCTGTGGCTGGTGTGAGATTATTGAGATAGCATGTCAGTTCATTCATTATAATACTTCAGAGGCCTCTAACACAGCATGAAGACACCCAGCCCTTTAATTAGCATGATGCATGTGTAAAAGAAAACTGGACAATCATGGGTGAAATACTTCAGAATGATCTGTATTTTAGCATTTTGGGCAATTGTTGATTGCACAGATAAAAATCTAAAAGGCAGGACTGGATTGTATATAGGTTAGTGGTAGAGAGTTGATTTAGCATCCATAAGGCCCTGGGTTCTCTCTCTAGTACCATACCTAGGGTTGGGGTAGGAGGAATGGGAAGGAAAAGAAAAAAAATTCACAGTCATTTTAAATGTGTTTGAATGTCTCATTTCTCTCTGGCCTTTTATTTAAAAAGAAAATACTTTACCCCTTATATTTGTAGCTTTTTACATGCCCAAAATTCTCTCTCTCTCTGTGACCTAAGCCAAACCTTTCTCTTCCTGCTTTCTCTCTCTTTCCCTCTCCCTCTTTCTCTCTCTCTCTCTCTCTCTCTCTCTCTCTCTCTCTGTGTCTGTGTGTGCCTGTATTTGGGTGTGGAGCTGGGGGTGCAACAGGGCTTTGTACTTGCTAGGCCAATGTTTTCCCACTGAGCTGTCCCTCCAGACCTATAACTTCTTTTTACATGCATTGCCCTTCTTAAACCCCAATCTTGTGTCTCCCAGTTAATTTTAATGTCTTCTCTGCACAGGCACTTAGTTATTGCTCTTCTGGAGACCTAATTGGTTAAAGTTAACAAGAATAGCTAATAATTAATGGCAACTCAACCCAGAGCTGGCCAAAATAGATGTTATGGATATTACCATAAGATTTTTTTTTTTTTACTAATTCTGTATCTAGGAGTAAATTTTGGACTTCATACATACCTAGCTATATTCTCTGAAAAGACAAAAGTCCATCTCATTATGGTAGAGCAGTTGGGGCAACTAAAAAAATTCAGTGTTTAAAGCCAAATTTTGATGTCCTGGAAGTTCTAAAATATACGTATGTTTTATATATATATATGCCAAATAATACAGTTTGTATTTTCCCTGAAGAAAAAGTTTGAGACATATCCAGAGAGTATCTTCAACTTCAGCCTAAGGCAGATGATCAGGTTTGAGGGTTTTGTTTTGGTGTGTGTTTTGGGGGGGTGTTGTAGTTGAATGGCTTTTGTTGTGCTGTGTAGGAGGAAAATTTGAGCTTCAGTTGAGCAGATGGCTATGAAGTAAGGCTTTCTATCCTGGAACAACTCAAGGCTGGCCTTGAACTCACAAAGATCTGCCTGCCTCTGCCTCCCAAGTGCTGGGATTAAAGGCGTGCACCACCACTTTCCTAATTTTTGACCGCATTTGCAACTACGGGCTGTGTAAACTAGCCGTGTACCTGGACCAGTCACAGGGAGCATTCTGCTTAGGGTTAGCCCACTTGCAGCCTCCCCATGTCAGTGGCCCTGACCTGGAATCAGTACTCACCAGAACCCTTCTGTTTCCCTCATAAAACTTCCCACTCCTGTGACTGTCCCCAACAAAATGCAAATCACAGTGACTGGCTATAGCAAGATCTGAATAAATAACCTCTGTTCTTTCTTTGGTTCATCTTTAGTTCCATAATTCATGTAACTTTGCACCTTGTCAAGCCCTCTGCCAGCCTTATTCTTTGTAAAAGCTTCCTCTATATTCTGTTTGCACTTATGTGTTAGGTAACCCTCATCTACCAAATTTGCAAGTTAAAAGGATATAGAAAAGGGACTCTCAGGCTGGAGAGATGGCTCAGCAGTTAAGAGCACCGACTGCTCTTGCAGAGGACCCGGGTTCGAGTCCCAGCACCCACATGGCGGCTACAAACCATCCTTAACTCCAGTTCCAGGGGAACCCAAAGCCCTCTTCTGACCTCTGTGGCATTGCACAACACGGGTGCACTCACATACATGCAGGCAATACACTCATACACATAAAATAAAAATAATAAATATTTTTTTAAAAAAAGAAAAGGAGCCAGGCGTGGTGGCGCACACCTGTAGAGGCAGGCGGATCTCTGTAAGTTCAAGCCCAGCCTGGTCTACACAGTGAGTTCTAGGACAGCTGGGGCTATGGGGAGACCCTGCTTCAAAAAGAAAAAAAAAAGGGACTCTGCCAGTTGAGGATTATTCCCTAACCCCTCGTTACAACAGGACTCTGCCCACCCTGATGTTCCTTTATGCCCGTCTCTAGTCCTCCCACTCCAGGTAACCACTTCTAATTTATCTTACTGTAGCTTAGTTCTTTTTTATAAGCATAGACTCATAAAGTATGTAATCTTAATTTAGCTTCTTTGATTCAACAATATGCTTTTGTTTTTGAGAATATTGGGGCTTTGTGCCAGTAGTTCATTCCTTATCACTGTGAGTGGCATCTCATTGCATCCATAGACCCCAGTTTGTTTATCCATTCTGCCTTTAACAGATACTCAGGTTTTTCCAATTTGCAGCTAATACAAATAGGCTTGCTATGAATCTTATGATTCTTTTTCGTAAATAAAATGAAAGTTTTCTTTTTTATTAGATAAATACCTCAGAATGAAATACCTGGGGTATGTAGTAAATATATGTTAATTTTATGAGAAATTGCCAAACAGTTCTCCAAAACAGTTACACTGTTTTTTTCCCACCAAGTGCATTAGCAGTGGTTTTGTTAGTTTCTTACTTTTATTTCCTTTAATTGATTTATTTACCTTATGGTGCTGGTGACTGAACCCCAGACCTCATGCATGCTAAGCCAGGACTCTACCATTGAACTACACCACTAGCCCAAGTTTTAGTATTTTGTGTGTTTGGTTTTTTAAGTCAGTGACTTTTTTTGTTATTCACATACTTTATTAAAGAAATGATTGTATCAAGTAGGTCAGAGTTGTATGGAAAGCAAATCCAAGGTTCTACATTTGTCTCTGTTTAAATGTGGGGGCAGGACTTTCCCCATAACAAGCACAGCAGCTACGGCTGTCAGATGCCCCTTTATGGACACAGCCCTGGGTGTATTTGAGCAGCCCACAGAGCAGCAAGCAGCTCTTTCTGCAGGAGGTGCTTCTACACTGTGCCTCTATAGGAGCACACCCAGGTGCAGAGGCTGCTGTGACAGGGAGCCACCTGTGGTGAAGAGCAGTTGGGGCCCATATTGAGCCTTGTAAGACTGGACATGCAGAGTGGGTGACAGAGGCATTCCGGCTGCCGGAAGGCATATACCTTCTCTAGTGCATTGTTTAAGGTCTTTTGTCTGCTGTTAACTGGTTTGTCTTTTTATTGTTGTTAGTTTCTTAGATGATCTAGATATAAGTCGTTTATTATTAGATTTGTAATTTGTAAAATTTTGATGATGTATAACATCAGTTATTGTTTTGTGACATGCTTTTTGCATCCTGTTGAAGAACTCTGCCTCTAGGGCTAGAGAGATGGCTCAGCAGTTAAGAGCACTGGCTGCTCTTCAGAGGACCCAGGTTCAGTTCCCAGCATCCATGTGATAGCCAACAACCGTTTATAACTCCAGTTCCAGGAGATCCCATGTCCTCTTCTGACCTTCACAGGCATTACATGATATGGGTGCACTTTCATACATGCAGGCAATACACACACATAAAAAAAATAATAAAGAAAAAGAACTCTGTCTCTCTACCCTCAAAATTATGGAGATATTTTTTAGCAGCTTTATGGTTCTAGGCTTCATAGTCACATCTCTGATCATCTCAAATTAATTTTTGTGCATGAACTAAAATAAGGATTAACATGAGTAAAAAAACAGTCTTTCAGTATCACTTGTTAATAAGGCTTTTCTTTCCCCATTGCATTGGCACCTTAGTCAAAATTTATTGTTATGTGTACTGTGAGTCTATTTCTAGTCTGTTCTGTTCTCTTGATTTATTTGTCTATGCTAATACCAATGCATATTAATCTTCATTATCACCTTGTAATAAATTTTGAAATGAGGTATAAAAACCCTCTAAAGAAAATAATTTTTTGCTTGTTTGTTTGAAACAGGGTCTCCCTGTAGCCCCAGCTGGCCTGGCACTCATTATGTAGACCAGCTGGCCTGGCACTCACTATGTAAACCAGGCTGGCCTCATTCTCACAGAGATCTTCTTGCCTCTGCCTCCCAAGTGCTGGGACCAAAGGTGTGTGCCACCATACCCAGCTTTGA